ACATCGTTATGATAATTTATCGATAAATATACTCGATACTAGAAAGAAAGAAAAAGAAAGATCATTAATTAAACGTCAAATAAATATTATCTACTATCTCTCTCTGAAAATAACAAAAAAAATTGACTTATATACCTAAATACACGTACAAGTTGAGCAATTCGAGAGTGTATATAATTAATAGATAATTATCCAAAGAAAATTATAGTATTCCAGGAACGATAAATATAATAAGGAAAAGAAAAATTTTAATTGTCTTTCTCGTACATTTATTAAAGAAAAAAAAAAAAAGAAAAAAGGAGAACATTTAAATGTTTCAACACGTATAAATATATCCTATCCTATATTCGAGGAGATAGAAAATGAATGCAAATCATTGGGAAGGATCATTTCATGCAGTGTACCATCTCGGTATTACACCGATTCGAGGTTTTCGAATAGAATGACTTTCTCGTAACAATCTAAATATTCCGGTATTGCTTATGCAATTGATACGAGATCTCATTCGATTTTATGTCTTTCTTACGTGCTGTACAATGCTTCTATAAAATTACTTTCTCTCTCTCCTCTTTCTTTCTTATTCTTCTCTTCACTATAACGACAAAGGAGAATTCAAGAAGAAGAAGAAAATCCAACGTTCGTGGACGTGGATGATCCCGGATGATCCAAGAAAAAGCGTGGAACTAAAGTCGACCTCTTGGCCAACTCAGAACGGAGATATTATGCGTGCTAGAGTGAATTACCTGCAATGGAGAACCTGGAATGGCCGGTAGATGTACCATTGATGGCGTTACCACGAGTTTCAACGTTCATCGTGAAAGCCAACTATATTCGCTCCTTCCTATCTCGATGATTCTCTTCGTTATTACGTGCTTTACGTCTTCGCGTGCCGAAGAAGAAGAAGAAGAAGAAGAAGAAGAAGAGAAGAAGAAAAAAAGATAAAGAAGGAATGAGAAAAAATAACTAGGTAGGTATATACCTTAATCATCGTAAGCTCCTAGAGACGTCGTTACGTGTTGAAAACGCCTACGTAAACCACCACCCCCCTGCCCCGTTGTTGTCCTGGAATAGAAAATTCAAGGATTCGTTAAACAAGTTGAATTTGAAAGGAAGAAAAGAATGATCTTATCGATTATTGACGTACTATAATTTTCATTTAACCATGAATAACAATGTATCGCGTTGTTAAAAACGTATTAATCTTTATCTGAAATTATTCTTATAAACCTAACTCTTTTTATCACACAGTATCAAAATAACGCGGACCGAGAAAATATTCATTTTATTTTTTTTATTTTTTTCACATTATTTTATTTCCTCTAACGCGATTTCAAAATCGTTTTTCAGAACTTATGCAGTTTAATTTCCATTACGTTTTTTTTTTTTAATTAAATCCTAATTCTTATATATAATTTCATTTTTTACGCGCGATTTTCGCGAAACTTATCGTATCTCTGACTTTGTTATTAAATGTATAGAAATTTTGGAAAAATGATTATCTAACGATCTCTATTTGACATAATTATATTTACGTTCATTAATACGAATATGTTATTTTAACAAGGTATATAATTATTATTTATTTTTAAAAGTATTTATATACTCTATAATTATTGAACGCATTTGATCACATTTGACACGAGAACATACCATTTACGGGTAAGAAATCGTGATCGAGTTTTAGCCCCGCAGGACTATACGTACAACTATACCTACTCTCTTTGTCGAATCAAGACTTTGATTACGACGTGCCACCATTGAGAAAGCAACGATAAGATCGGAGAATAAAAGGATAAATGAATTTAATGCTTGATAGCGTAACCGAACGATTTGTCTTAACCGTTCACCTGTCTGACAATGAAACGTACTTATATACTTACTTACTTACTTAGTTACTTACTTACTTACAAATTAAGATGTCAAAACGTCCTGCCGTTTGTCTACCATTTTTATAACAGAACCGAGAAATCCAATTATTTGTATACATACGTATTAACGAATATAACACAATAAAGTAAAAAATATACAAATATTTTGATAACATAAAAATTGTTTTTATAGTACAAGATCATCTTAAGAAGCTGGATTGGTTATATACTAAACACGCGTGACTAGACGAATTCCAGAAGGATATAATAAAAGAGAAAAATAACGAATCATCATTGGGAGAAACTAAGCGCTACCTTGGTAGAAATGTTTTGACTTTTTCTAAACGTTTCTCACCTCTTTCACTACTATATTAAATTGATCTACAGTATCATTAGATTACAAAATAATAATCATATTTTAATATCTACTTCATAATAATAATAATAATAATAATAAATATAATATTATATATTGAGACACAGTGTTGAACATCAATTAGGATCGATTAAATAATTTTATTGTTCAAACTTTTTTCAATTAAAATTGTAAATAACGTATTTACTTAAGTGTACAAACTCGTTGTAACGTCGCACTTTTCTGTATCGGTCATTCAAAAGAATGAGAAAAAGAGCTGGGAAAAAAGTGCATCACCGATAGACAGAGTGATTTTGGGTAAAGCTATGAGCGTCGTTTCTTCTCTTTTCAAAGAGAGAGAAAGAGAGAAAGAAAAAGTATGTGTATCTACACATACATATATATATATATATATATATATATATCCATATATGCATACGTGTCGCGCATACACCACGATCTGATACAGCCATAACAAATGACATCGACGAACTGGCATCGTCCCTATCTTCTCATCTCGTGCGAAACTTGAACGATTAAATATTGTCCGAATGTCTAAGTAATGAAACTTAAGGAAAAGTGGACAAAACTTAACCCAGGATAAAATGTTGGACCGGCAAAGACGATGTCCTTATATTCCATTTTGAAAGACCCTTTGAGGTAGTCAATATTTAAACCAGCGTTGAGGGTAGCTTAAGCGGGGCCTAGTTAGAAGACATGACGCCGGGTTATGAGCCCGAAAGAGGAGATACGGGGAGGGCCTCGGTTGTAACACGTGTTGTGAACCGGTTCTACCTTAATTGTCTTAAACGGAGACTATCATAATTCTGACTTTATCTCGGTCCCCGCTTGAACCCCCTCTCGAAACCTCTCGCGAGACTCCTCGTAGATCCCCACCTTGCCCTCTGACATACCTTATTCCGGACTCTCAAGCTCTCGCGATCGTATGACCGATTCTTCGACGTTCCGCCATTTTTCTTTGAACTCTTTTTAACATAAATATCTATAAGGAATAAATATATAAGAATGTGATTTTTTAATATGAAGAACGAGCTTTTAAGAATTGTTCTAAAACTAACAGATATTTTTCAAGTAAACCTACGTTTTGTTGTTTTTCTTTTTTTTTTTTCAAAAAAATATAAATCAGTAGTAGTATTTAGAGTATGTTTTATAATCTTCTTTTCGCGATATTAAATACAATTTATCGTTAATATTATTGAAATCTCGTTAAAATGTTTGAAATATTCTAAGACGTTAATAATAATTGATTTCTCTCTAAATCAAATGGTAAATAACTTAGAAACATTATCGTGTGTGACATTGGTATTCGCTTTTAATAAGCAAACTAATTAAATATCGTTCCTGTTTAATCTCTTCGCGATCAGTACCAGACAAGATTTCGGCTTGATCTACGACAATGTGAGGTCCTTTCCTCCTTCGGAAATATCCATCACTGCCTATACGTCATTTTTCGATTTTGGTGGACCGACTTCGATAAATGTAATAGTCCATAGTTCAGCTTGCTAACAAGGCTAACCCTCTAGATTTGAGATAACGCCCAGTTGAGTCGACTCACTGTAGCTGTTTATAATGAACCACGGTAGAACCTGATCATCGATTGAGACATTCTTAACTGATACTTCATCAATCATTGAAAACGTCACTAAACTTGGCATGCTAAACTATGTGTCTAATTTTCTTCTTTCATCGTTTGCTATCTATATTTTCCAATATTAACTAATTTTAGAAATTAATTTTCTTAATCCCCTGCCGCTCGAGCACGCTTGTAAAATAATGTAATTGATTAAATAACGTAATTAAATTTCACGTGCAATTTCTAGTGCATCTTCATGAAAGTTAAAGATATCAATCCTGGATACGATAAATTGAAAAATATGATACAATTTCATGATAGACAAATTTTTGTGTGATCTCCAAGTTTAAGGGTAAAATGAATAAGCTTAAAATATAATGTAATTTTATACACGTACCATTATGAGACATATATATATATGTATATATTTTTGGTCTTCGTATCTGGGCGTCTATTTTTCTAGAAGATATATATATACGCTATTCTAAACGAAAATTTTAACTATTTATATTTTTAGAAAATATCTCGTTCCTCAAGTTTTATACTACACACACATGCAATAAAATAACTAAACATTCTTATAAATGATCAAGTACAGGGTGTACCATCTATGTGCAATTTCCGTATCAAATTTTTCTTTCGTTCTATTTCGATGAGCCTACTGTCGGTAAGAAAATGGAAATGTATTTGAAAAAATTCGTTATCGACAAAATTGTCTACAAGTGGTTAACGTCGTTTTCTATATTACCAACGAAACAAGAAAAGCTAATCAAAGCTAACTTATAAAAGATTGCATGAAAAAATATATCATAAATTTTTTATCCTATTAAATTATACTAGAAACATTTAAGGATTATAAAGTAAGTACATAATTTTACAATAAAATAATTAAGAATTCATTAATTGAAATCCTACTATGGGACATAATAAAACTTTTGTTAATAAACAATATATATTGTTAAATAAGATTACATGTTATACATTTCATATGATTAATTATCCTATGAATTTTAATTTATCATACTTAGATATGATCAGTTTTGTCTTACATTTTTATTTAATTTTATATATAACTTAAACTTGTGATTTGAAAAAATGCAAGATTAATAAAAATGATCTTAGACTTATGTATTAAAGGATATTAAGATGAATCTTTGAAAATAATTACACTTCATGATAGTCGAAAACAGTTGTACATCATGTATTAATCTATTATAATGTAACTTTAAATTGTTTTATATGCCAAATCGATTGAATAATACAATTAAAGTATATTATTAATAATAATGAAATAATTCAAGGAAAACCATCATCGTCTTCTTCTGCCATTTCTTTTGCTAATTCTAAATCCTGTTGTTCTCTCTCTCTTCGTTCTTCCGCAGATTCAAGATCCTTCCCATAAGATTTGGGTGGATAACGCATAGCTTTGACACTTTGATTATGTAAGTCTAAACAAAACGTTATTCTCTGATGGAACGCTAAAAGTGGCTCTCTAGTACAATAAATATCAGTAGTCTCTTTACTACGCATATAACCATTTTCGGGATCCAATGTAGCTTCTATTACTCCATCACGTATAGCTTTTGCTACTATAAATTCAGCATCAACGCCAGAATCTAAACCAAGTTTGCGTGCAATATCGGCAGGTGAAATTCTCGAATACGAAAGTCCAATAGAACGAATAGCGGTTTTAATAACATTATGCCTTAATCTTAAAATCAATGTAAAAGTATGATCCGTTCTAAATTGTGGTCCAAAATTTTCTAATACCTCTCCAAATCTTTGTAAATTTCCTAAACGAACAGCTTGTGTCAATTGGAAATATGGAGCAAGGGCACGACGTAAAGCAGCCTGTCTAAATATTTGTCTTTCTGGTATATCTCCTAATAAAAGTTCTACTGTAACTGCCAACTTCTGCACAGTTTGTCTAAAACCAATTGCAGTAGTCTGCGGTGCTTTACGCATTGCCTGAACTAAATATTTATGAGCTGCGGAGTACTCTAATCTAGCGGCCTTAATTCTACCCAAATAATATAGAAATCTTGCCCATTCATTGTTACTCGCAGATTCAGGAAAAGTTGATTTAAGTACAAGCTTATCCGCTTGATCATACAAATTATAATGAAGATAATTCCGTAATAAACAATTAATAAGGACAGCTTGGCCTTCAAAATCATTACGCAAAGTAGCTGTACGTAATCGGAGATGTAGAAAACCTCTTATTTTGGAAAGATTATTGGTTAATTCGTAAGCACGCGAGTGATAGAAGTAACACTTAGCTGCTATTAGATCTATAGTCCTTCGATTCTGCATTACGATCTTTTGCATGAGTGCTTCGGAGCACTGTACAGCATCATTGTATTTTCTAGTATCTATTAATCTCACAAGTACGAGTAAATGAATATAAGCATCAATTTCTGGTAATAAGATAGCAGAAGAACTTCTAAACCTTTGAATAGCTGTTTGATTGTCATCTATTTCCATTGGCTCGTCTACCCAAACTAAAAGTGCTTCGCGTTCTGCTGCTGACTTAGTATAAAATCCACCGATGAGTCCTCTCAATACAATAGGATTTAATTTGCGACGTGTGTTTGGTAAAGTACGTAAAGCACGTAAGATAAAGCGTGGTTCCTTGTTTTGTACAGCTTTTTCAATTTGACGAGTGTGTTCTCGAATATCGTGAATAATGACAAGATCGCTATCCTTTTTATCTCCTGAATCACCTTCTCCGTTTTGAGTATCAGTAGTTGTAACTTCTACTTCCATTGCTTCCGTAGTTCTTCCAAGTACACCCATTTTGATATCTATATCAAAAAGTCGATTCATTGTAAATATTACACATAATATAATTTGTGTAAATAAATTATACTAAAAAAAAAATAAGAACTCTTGTTTAAATTCATTATTAGATAATAATTAATTTAATGTTTTAATTTAATATTATATTTGCGCTTAAATAATAAATTCATACAAATCGAACTGTATGTCAATAAATATTTTCATGCAATTACGCTTCTACATGTGCAAATTAAACAGTTAACAATAGAAATTAATTTCTAGTTTATTTTTACGATTATTTGTTTAATATATTAATATAATTTATATTTCTATATTACCTTCAATTAAAAGATCTTCTAACCTCCAACAAAGCGATATGCAATATGTCAATTCACTGCGTTTTTATACTTCATGGATTGTTCGCACAGCAACGACGTTCATGTGATACATGTAGTGACCTCTGATATTAATGCGAATAATCAAAATTTTATTTTCTACGAATGAAATTTCTTCAAATAATACTACGTATTCGAAAAGAGTTTATGAGTAAAAATAAAACTTGTTTAAAAATTTGAAAGGTAGAATAAAACGTTTAATCTTTTATCTTCCAAATGAGATCTTGTTAATCAAAATCGATTAAGAGAATTATAAAACGTGATGAGTAGTTTTAACTAATCACCAGATAACGGTTCCAACTAACAATTGAATGGCCGTTGTTTCATAGAAATAAATCTTGATAATTGACTATTCTAAGAAAAGGTAGGAAAATAAAAAAAATATAAATTAATTTTTATAATCAAAAATATTATATATATACAGTATAAATAACTTATGATTAATCCTGATATTTAATTGTATTTTAATTAAACAGTTTACTAGCTGTAACATTCGAATCAACAGCTCTTAGAGAACAACTTGATCGCTGATCGATGTTTTGGACTTGCAATTAGTAAAGGATTATATATACGTTTGATCGAAAAAGTGATAAAAATAGTGTCAGTTTTTGATAAAAATAAATACATATTAAGTTAGAAAGAGAGAGAGAGAGAGAGAGAGAGATCGAATATGACGATGCATGTGTATCTAGATTTGAATAGAGAAAAATAATAGTCAAATTATTGGAAATATAAATATTTTTAATACTCTAAGTATTACAAATGATAATTAATCAGATTCAGTGTTTTGTTCGAATTTGAATAAGAACGAAACTCTGTTCTATTCTGTTTTGGATATGGTCAATCAAATGGATAACACTAAAACTTCAAGATACGGTTTAATATCTTGGAAATTAAATAAGAAACCTTTGAATTTCTTATGGAAACGACATTATCGTGAAAATGTTATAAAATCAGACGAAAACAAGTGGAAGGGTGAAGATCCTAATACTATCAACGTTGTATCATGCAAACCACAAAATAATACTACCAATAAAATACAACATGGTTTTTTTGGAAATATTAAAAAACATTTTGCTATACGCAAAGCTAAACAAAAAGTAAGCATATATTTTTATATAGATTTTTATATAGATTTTCAACATTATAACAAAATTGTTTTAGGCAAGCAAATCTATAACATCCGATTATCTTTACGAAACCCAACAAATAATTTCTAAATTTGACAATGATGTACCGACAAAATCTTCCTTTGATATTGACACACCACTGGTTGAACGATGTCTTCCTTCTGCAAATACAGATAATTCATTGGCCATTGTTATACAAAATACTACCGATGAGAACAAAGTTAATTGCAATACTCAATTTTCTTCACCTTTAAATTGTGAGACAGATATTCATTCGGAAGGAGAAACAAAAGATTTGGAAGTACTTAATAAAGAATGCGATACGAAAGATAAAATGCATATCAACCCATTGCTAGAGTCTCCAGCACTGCATACTACAGATGAAAGACAAATAGTACAATGTACAAGTAATACAGATGCAGAAAGTGATATGGCAATAAATGATGAAAGTAAGCTGAAAGCTTGTCTCTCTGAAGAATTATTGAAATTAAGCAAATATGGTTGGTATTGGGGTCCCATATCTGGAAACCAGGCTGATCTTAAACTTATGTCAGAACCAGATGGTGCATTTTTAGTCAGAGATTCATCTGATGACAGGTACATTATATTTTTACTTATCTTTCCCTATAAAATTCAACATATTGATTCGCATTTTATATCAAAATATATTTCATCTGATATTTATTAACAGGTATTTATTAACGTTAAGTTTTAAGTCATCAGGAAAATTACTTCATGCACGAATGGAACACAGTAGAGGTCTTTTTTCATTATGCAATCGTGGAGAAAGTAAATCCTTTACATCCATAGCTGCATTAATTGATTATTCTATGAACTTCAGTGAATCTGCAGTAATTTGTTATTCGAGACCCAAGTATCCTGGTTGTCCTTCATTTCCGGTAAGGCTAACAAAGCCAGTAAGTAGGTTCACTCAAGTCAAGAGTTTACAATATCTTTGTCGTTTTGTTATACGACAAAATACAAGATTGGACAATATTCACAAATTGCCATTGCCAAAAAGTATGAGAGGATATATAGAAGAGGCACATTATTGAGACGAAAAACGATGCAATTAATTTAATATGTGGTAAAAACTTTAATTATATGACAGCTAAAATGTCAATGTGATAATTTTAGAGTATTGCTAATAAAAAAGATATTAATCTATATTTAGAGATAAATTTTTTATGTGCTTTTGCACATTTATGTAAAAAAAATATTGGCAATGTAAGGGAAACGTGAAAGCACAACCGAAATATATGCATTTGTTAAATAAATAGATATACATATACATAGGGTTTGATAGAAAGATATATTTTATGATATCTATATGATATAAGTACAAAAAGTGTATTCTATGAATTTCTTTACATATTAGCAATACAGTTATTTGTACGCAAAATAAACTATTTCTTAGATTAGATAAAACGGATAAATCATACAAATTTGTAATATTTGCAGCTTGATAAATAGTTACTACAATTTGCTTCTTATACTTCTGGTGCAATATGAATTAACTTGAACGGATTAGTAAACGTCTATGTACAATTACTCACCAAATTGAGCATACACTCAGATTAATAATAAATAAGATGAGAGAATGAATAAAAACTTACAGATTTTTTAATGTAAAAATGCAATATATATTTATTCGTATAGTTTATCCAACATAAGCGTAAGCTCACTTTTGTGAATGATTATATAAATGTAACACAGCATGTCTGCTTTTAAAAATATTGCATTGACACATTAATCTTGATCGATAAACTTATAAAAAATATTTAGAAAAACAACAAATTATAGACACATAGCTTGATAATGAAATATTTCCATTAGAATGATGCAAATTGTAGGCAAAATTGTAACATCGTCAATTCCTCATGATTGTTACTCGTACTCTCTCTGTTAATTTGTATAGTCTCTAAATATCATATTAAAAACTAGCGATCTGTTAAAATATCGCTTTTATGTGATAAACGAATACAGATAATTTCGACTTTACAAATTCTCATCTTGGGGAATAATGTTTTAATTGTTAATAACAACTTGTCACGAATAAAAGTAATATTTATTATAAATTGCATCTAAACATGGGAAATGTAAAATAAAAATAAATCAATTTGTAAAGTAAGTAATTATCTGTAAATTAAAAAAAAAAAAAAACATTCTTACGTTATTCTTTCTACATATAACTCCAATAAACTGTTTTGAATAATCAATATTTAAATCCGTTAATTAGAACATAACACATTCTCCGCATTTTTATTATCTTCCAAACATCCTCGAATTATGATAACAATGTGAAATTAATGAGCTAGCTAACTATCTCTAAGCTAATAATTTTTTTTATGCACGCGTGGGAAAAAGAAAGCATATAAAATTTATTAAGAAAACATTATAGGAGATAAACGAGGTGTGAAAAAAATATAAGTAACAAGATCGAAGCATTGAATTTTGGTGATGCCGCTACGTAAAATTACAGAAGGTGGATTGGTCGATGAAGGGGCGCATATGTCGCCGTTCGTTCGGCACAAGTTTAGTAGTAGCAGCAGCAACTGCAGCAGCATCAGCGGCAGCTGTGGTGGCGACAGCATCGGCGTTTGGAACAAGTGTGTCAGCCTTATTGTTAGATGCGGTGTGGCTTAGCGATGTGAAGCAGTGTCGTCATATGTCGGTTGATTAACGTCAAAGTTCGGCGTGGTTCGCGCAAGTATGAGCACATAGCCGAGAGAGCGCGTCGTACCAACATGAAGCTAAGTAAGAATAGAGCGCGAGTTTTATTTGATCTAACGTTAAAGATAAATAAAGGAAAAATAAGTGTTAAAGCTCGGGAGAGTAAAATTACAACTGAAAGTAAAGGAAACGAACGAGTCAGTGATACTAGCCACTAAAGAAACGGAAAAGGAAAAGGTGGAAGAACGTTTAATCGCGCCAACAAGTGATACACGTAACATTGTTACGTGTTCGTAAAAGAAGCGCAAGGTAGTAGTAACCTTCTATTAAACAGAGAACGAAAAATAAAGATAAAGAGAGAAGGGATAAGTGAGTAGAAGCGAGCAAGCGAGTGAGCGAGTGAATGAGTGAGTGAGGGAAAAAGAAAGCAAGAGTGCAACGAGCCACTGTGTGAATTTAAGGAGAAGAGTAGTCGGAAAGAAGAGAGGAGAGGAGAAAGAGTAGCGCCGCGGTGCGTCGATGGGACGCGCCGTGCACGGCGTCGTGAGACGGGCGAGGTACGACAGGAACAACGCCGGCCAAGAAGATATTCCTCGATCTCGGAAGAAGAGGAACGAATACCGGTCAAGAGGACGGTCCAGAGCCAGATTCCTACTCGACGTTCGTTTGCCGACTAAAGTTTGTCCCCTTTTCGGATACGCCACCGAGGAGGGTATCTGGAAGTTTGGAGGTGACGCGTGTCGACCAGGTGGTTACAGCGGCTACAGTAGTGGCGGTGGTTGTGGTGGAGGTGGCGAAGCTGGTGCTGGTGGTGGCAGTGCTGATAGTAGAAGTAGTAGTAGTAGTGGTGGCCCCAACAAAGCTATTAGTGTTAGTAGTAGTAGTAGTGACGGTGGCGACGGCGACGGTGGCGGTCGTGTCAAGGATCGTGCCGGCATACGACGCGTTTTTCATCATCCACGAACAACGCTGACGACAATTAACACCAATAGAAAAAGAAAAAAAAGATCGACAGGAGGGAAGAGTGATAAGAAAAGTATTGGGGAAAGTTGAGGTATAGGAGAAGCGAGCGTAACGCGACGACGACGGCAGATGCGAACATCGCCGGCGCGATCGTCACCGTCGCCGTCGCCGTCGTCCTCGAAGTCCGAGAGAAAGAGAAGCTGAGAGAGAGAGAGAGAGAGAGAGAGAGAGAGAGAGAGAGAGAGAAAGAAAGAAAAGAAGAGCAGGAAGAACGACGAGATACTCCTTCGGTAAAGGATCATCTTGAATGCGGTGGTGCGCGGTGACTCGCAAACGCCGCACTCGCTACGACGACGACGACGATCGAGAGGAAAAGGACGATGAAAGAAAGGACGACGTTAACGAAGAAGAGGAGAGAGGCGGAGACAGCAAAAAAGGAGATAAGTCATCTCGCGTGATCCCACTCCCCTCCCCTCGAAGCGAGCCTCGAAGATGTCGTCGTCGTCGTCGTCGCCGTCGTCGTCGTCTTTTACTCTCAGGTTACGGCTCGCCTCGCGATGGAACCTCGATCTTAGGTATTACGACGACAACCTCGAGGAAAAAGAAGCCGCTCGGACGATCAAATAGCATAGAAAAAGAAAAACAAGGGCTGGAGTTGAGCACGCGGAACAACCGTGCACGCCGCTGCCGGTTGCCCGTTCTCTGAGTCATCACCGTGAATTATTCCCTCCTCCTCGACCTAAACCTTACCCTCCTGCGGTCCTTTACTCGAAGATGAACTCCATGCTGTATACCCTGTACGGGTTCGCGATATTCTTCATGATATTCTGGTCGGGCATGTGGATCGTTCACGTGTTGGCTTTAATAGCCGGCCGCTGGAAACTTCATCGAAAGATTGCTCAAATACCAAGCTACGAGACTCCCCTGCCTGGTGTTTCGATCATCAAACCGTTAATGGGAGTCGATCCGAATTTATTCGGCAATCTCGAGACATTCTTTACGATAGAGTATCCTAGATACGAATTGTTATTTTGCGTCGAGGACGATTCCGATCCGGCGTTGATGCTAGTCGGGAAATTAATAGAAAAATATCCTCAAATAGAGACGCGAGTTTTCGTGGGTGGTCGCAACGTTGGGGTCAATCCTAAGATCAACAATATGCAGCCGGCTTACGAAACGGCGAAATACGAGCTGGTACTGATCAGCGATAGTGGTATAAGAATGAAAGAGGACACTCTGTTGGATATGGTCAACTACATGACCGATAAGGTCGCATTGGTACACCAGATGCCGTTCACGTACGACCGTGACGGTTTCGCAGCAGCCTACGAAAAGATATTTTTCGGTACGGTACAATCAAGGATGTACCTTGCGGCCGATCTCTTAAGAATAAACTGTCATACCGGTATGTCGGCTTTACTACGTAAGGCGACCTTGGACGAAGTCGGCGGCCTGAAGACCTTCGGTGTCTATCTCGCGGAGGATTTCTTTTACGCGAAGTCATTGACCGACCGTGGCTGGCGAATAACCGTCTGCTCGCAGCCTGCATTGCAAAACAGCGGCCACTGCGAATTGCACTCCTTCCAGGCGAGGCTCAGGAGGTGGGCCAAGCTTCGTGTCGCCATGTTACCCACCACGATCGTCTTCGAACCTCTCAGCGAGTGCCTCGTACTCGGTGCCTGTGCCTCCTGGGCTGCCAGTGTTCTATTCGACTGGGACTCTTTAGTTTTTTATCTCGTACACATACTATTGTGGTTCATGTTCGACTGGACGCTTTTGTGTGTCGTACAGAACGGGCCATTGCCCTTCAACAAACTCATGTTCGTCTGTGGATGGCTTCTCAGTGAGATCACGAGACCCTATCTCTTCGTTCAAGCCGTCCTGGATCCCCTGATACAGTGGCGTTCGCGCGTTTACAAGCTCAGATGGGGCGGCGTCGCGGAGGAGGTCAAGACGAAAGTAAAATACTAGGATAGCAAAAATCGTTCTTTCTTCCCTCCGATTATTTTGTTTCTCTCTCTATTTTATTCTTATTCCTTCTTCTCTTTCTCTCTCTCTCTCTCTCTCTTATTCTTTCTTTCACTCGCTCGCTCTAATTCTCACTATCTTTCTCCATCTTTCTCTCTCTCTCTCTCTCTCTCTCTCTCTCTTTTATTTTTTTTTTCTAATCATTTCCTTCCTCGTCGCGCAAATTTGGAGAATAGTGATACTCGATGGCATATCGCGCACTTATTTATATCTTGCGTTACATATCTACGATATTACCGTATGTAAGATATGCTCTCTACGTACGATGATTTTTTTCTCTCTTTTCGCGTATCATTTCTTCTTATTTTCCTTCTTCTTCTTATTCTTCTTCTATCTACTTCTATTTCCTCGCAAAATGGCACGAATCGGGTCGTCGCGAGATTACATGAATTTCTTTTTCAACTGGATCGATAAAAAGTTTTACTGCCTACTTAAACGTTTGATCGATAATAATCAAACGAAGTCAAATCTATGAAACTTGTTCGTCAGCGTACGTATTATAGGAGAAGAGAGAAAGCTGAATGATAAATTATTTATCGCGAAGCGATATACGGATATATGTGTATATATATATCGTAATATTTAATAATAATACTAATAATAATACAATATTTATATATATTTAATTTAATTCTCACAACTATAAATAACAATTTATGACACTGACCATTTCAACAAAACTGAGACCTGATACAAAGTGCTACTTAATTAGTACAATTCTCGTCTACCATCACGTTATCAGAAAAAGAAGAAATAAAATACTCTAAAACGCTTATCTCAACTTTGATATGTTTCACAAATGAATATTGATTCATGCATAAAATTAATCGTTTATCATACACTGATATATAAACGTGGTTTTTTTTTTAAAATCATATGTTTACTTTTTTTCACTTCTTCCTACAATATTAAGTTAATATATTTAAGTGTAAATATTTTTGTTAATTATAAATTTATTCTGACTCAAATGACATTATTATAATTTGTCTCTAGATCATTAAACTTATATTTTTATTTATCATTTACTGTGTTGTCTGGGTCATTTGACATTAATCGAATTTATATCCTTTAATGTTCAGTTTTTTTAATGCTTTTACTTAGTTATTTAGTTCTGCATACGAACCACACACACAGTTCTCATAGGAACTTTTCTTTCAAATGTATCCTTTAATTTTTTCCATGCCTCGTTTGATATATTAGCCATTTTTACATAAGTTAATTGACCTTGTATTACACTCATATTAATTAATGCTATTGTCTTTGCGTCTTTTCTCGATCGTTCTACCTCGTTTTCTTTCGTTTTTTATTTTATTTTTATCAACAATTGATCACAAATCGTTATATACGAGAACACTTTTCATATGCACCTTTTCACAATTCGTAATTATTGTCATTTAATCTGTCTATATTCATAAGATTGTGAATAGATGCTCTATGATTTATTTTGCTCATCACTTCTTCATTAACGTTCGTCAAGCGTTATTAATTTTCATTCAAAACTTTTGTGCATAAAAACTGTCTAGAGCCCATAAATTGACAGAGTTTATTTTAGAATGATTATAATTAATTTGTAGAACGATAATGTAGTTTTGCAGAAGATAATAAAAAATATAGCCACTGTCCTAACAGTACTACGAGATCAGCTGAACACTTTTGTCGAACAAAAAATATAAACTTAACCCTATCGCATCTGATGCATGTAGTTTTCAATGCTATCACACACATGCATACACATATCTTATGACATTCATCGATACATTCCAACACATTCAATCTTATAATTAGAATATTTTTAAGTTTAATAATACACAGTTGTTTAACTTGTTATCCTATCGGCGGTCGTATATACATTAATTCATGCTTTTTGTAATTTCATTTTTAATTGAATTATTCATTTATCAAATCGATTAATTCTGCAAAGCAAAAAGTAGAGAAGAAAATTGATAAAGTGATAAAAAATGTCTATTATTTATTATCGAACACCGAGAAATATTATTGTCGTTTAATTATTAATTAATTTATTAAGGCTATTTATATTTTAAATATAGAAATTCAAGTATCGGTCAATGGTTTTGATAATAAAAGTACAAACAATTCTGAAAATTGAATTAATCGTTTTGACCTGTGGACGGTTCAAAAGTCTGTTTTTTTTTTTAAATGTTATTTTTTCTGCATATACAAAAATTATGTGTTCATTTAGTTTAACTTTTTAGGTTCATTCGGTTTTTTATTTTCCATTTGTATTAGCTCTTTTTTTATCATTTTTGTCGACACTAAAATAAAAAAAAAAAACATTACACCCTAAATTCTAATTGTAAAACAATTTTTACGAATTTCTAAATATTTTTGTTCATGATTATTGGTTTATCAAATATGTGATCTTGAAAAGTATAATTTTTTAAATAGTTTCGTAAAATTTTATAAGAAAGAAGGAAAAACCACGTTTTCAACGAAACAATTTTGTAATTAAATCGCATTGGTATCTTTGAAATTACGATGGGAACATAAAATACGTCGGCGAAAAGTCAATTTGATTCGAAGAAAATTATTAACGGAATTTTGCTCGTATTGCACATTGTTCTCACTATATTAGAAGAAACACAATTTTAACAAATAGATGAATCATCGAAAGGAAAGACAAAAATCATCGTGCGTGGCGAGTTTTAAAATATGTCGGACGATATGCGTCATAGCTCGCGATTTACAAAAATTACCGTTTTAAATGTTCTTTAAAATACTGCAACAATGATAACGCCTAAAAAAAAACGCGAAAAAGATTTCGTCTTTGTGTGTTGTTACAAATGAAATATGTTATCAAGTCTTTAATTTCAAAGTTAGCAAGTTTATCGCAAAGATTAACTAATCCCTTGGCCTACACGATATCTGCCAATTGTGCCATGCCCATTCTTCAACTGTTCAGCCCTATACCCGAACTGGCGCAAGATATATACTCACCACGAGTCGGACTCGTGGTTTTCGCTTATGGCACAAATTCTTTACCACGAGTCAGACTCGTGGTTATAGGCTAAGGGGTTAAATAAAAGTATTAAAAGAAAAAAATTTTAAATAATAATGCAATTTAACATACGCTGAATAATAGCACATATCATATCGTATCTTATACAACGAAAGGAAACGATAAAATCATGGAAATATGTAAAAAAAATGATAAAATAAATAAGAATAATATATCGCGTGCTATTCTTCTATATATGTATTTACGTATACATATATACAAAAACATGATATAAATCGATAATTCGAGAGAATATAATACAGAACAATTATATTTCGATATAACTATTGTCTAAAGTTTATAAATTATCGTTTCATTTGAGCATTTTAAAAAGATTTGTTTAAATCTTAACGATACGAAACAAAAACTAACATCGCACGTATAATATTTTATTCGATTTTGTCCATGTTATATAGGAAAAATCTATCCTATCAATGATTCAAAAAGATAAGGAAAAAAACAAGAGGAAAAGAGAGATAAAGATAGAGAGATAGAGAGATAGAGAGATGTTACTTTTTTTAATCGCGAGCTACAAAGTGTATATCGTATATGAAACTTTTACCATACGTAGATATGAGCGAAGGTGTGATTGTAATGTATGTAAAGTATAGTACTTACATATATACATACACATACGTGAGATACGTGCACGTGCTTTTACGTGTGCGCGAAGAGTGGGTGGGGGGGATAGGAAATGCATATATAGTCGACAAGGAAACAACGAGCCGCGTCTCTTACACCGTGCTCGTTGAAATGCGACGATTAACAAGGACCATTTTAGGTAAGACAGATATTACTAGAAAAAGAGAGAAAGAAAGAGAGAGAGAGAAAATATCGTGAATATCGATCGTTACTCGTTGCACGAACGAATCGACGATACGTCCGTTTTTTTTTCGAGAACCTCGAGTGCATTCAGACAGAAACAAAGAAAGAGAAAAAGAGTGTGTGAGAGAGAGAGAGAGAGAGAGAGAGAGAGAGAAAGAGAATCCGACGTGACATTTCAAGAGTGAGAACGCAAGCGTAAAACAAATGGATCGACCACCGATTCATGCGACGAAGTTGCAAAATTGAAAGTAATCTCGAATAGAATTTTAAACGATTAATTTAATATCTTTGATGTATATTGGAAAAAAAAAATTAAAAAAAAAAGTAATACACGTTTGTAGGGTAAACTCATAAATGTATAATATATGTACAGGAGCCAACCGTTTAACTTTAATCTCTCTTGGAAAAATTTCGTTGTTGATAAATTCGATACACACATTTTTCTAAATATAGAATATTTTTCATTGTAAATTGTTAAAATATTATGGACAGATATATTCATATGTATATATATATATATATATATATAAGCGGCCATAGGGTTATACGGTTTGCTCTGCGCACGGTAGAATCTTGATTATTCGGGTGGTTATTATCGTGAGGAATATGTTAGATCGATGATATTACTCGTATCAGTCGAAATTAGACGAATGAAGTTAAATTTGATAAAGAAAGAGAATCAAAGATCAACGAGGACAATGTATTATACATTTGTCTTTTTTTTTTTTTTATTTCGAGGTAAAGCATTATGTACCGGAATAATGAGATTCTACTGTATATGTATACATGGATTGTCCCAGATAATCCATTTCTAGTTACAATATATAAATTATTGATGCTGGGTTACTAATCTTATTTAAATTCGAAATATTGAAATGGAAGGAACACTCACTGTAGCATGCATCAATAGATACATATTTTTTTTTTCTTTTTTTTTTTAAAATAGAAAATATTTCGTTTTTATTACTGTGAAACGAAACACTTTCATAAATTCTTTACAATGTTTTGTATTTCATTGAAAGCAATAATGCCATTTGACTGACATATTGTTAACTTGAATACATTCGTGAACGGCATTATTCGAACGAGACGTTTACCTGAATACCGCATGGAACACAACTTGAAATATAAAACATATTATTAAATTCAAAAATAATATTACAATTTAGCAATCAAACGAAATTGAGCAAAGAGATTATAAACGATGAAAATGTAATTTTTTTTAATTGCGTAAAAATTTATTTTATCAACATTTATATAACTGTAGATTTTGAAATAACATAGAATTACAATGTCGGTATTCAGTTAAAGAATTTCAAATGATATGAAGAATTATCAATTATCAGTATCAAATATTTTAACACTTTGACGTATTCTAATTGCATGTCGCCGGGCGTAGAACTACGTTTTGTGCATCACACCAGTGTGGTGTCGCTGGACGTCATAGTGTTAACATATTATACGTAACAAGAAGACACAGATTATCTGGGACATCCTGTATTATATATTTATATCGGATATTGTTAAATAGATCAAATTTTGATTACAATAAAGGTGCCATGGTTTGAATTCCAATTGAATATTCATTGTTACGAAAGATCGTTCGAGTATCCGTTTTTGTGTGAATGTTATTCCCGTTTTATTCTACCTACTAGAAAAGGTTTGTTCGAAGCGCGCATTACGTGCATAAATATGAATTTGTTTGCGCGCGTATATATATATATACATACATGAACA